CTCAATTGCTACATGTTTGATTGATGACCCTGCATCCAATCATCTCTGCCCTCTTCCAAATGGCATGAGTGAAGGTTACAAATTGGATTTTCTGATTACTAAGAACAAAGCAAATCTATAGTACTTAATTCAGTATAAATGTTTGCAGCTAGTAATCATTACAGCCTCACTGGCTGCATGAAGGACATCTCCAATTTACTTAATTGCTCATGAACTTTCTTTTTTGTATGGATTTATTATTGGCATTGAGTTTGTTGTGTGTAGTAAGTTTTTGGGGCTATTATAGAAGAGCTCTGAATTTTACAGTACATTATTTGGCTAGTAAATATGGTGATTTCAGTTAGTAACCTATTTAAAACATAGAACGCCTCAGATATTTATGCATCATATACTTAAAATATTTTGTTTTTTAAAAATATATATTTAACAATACATTTTTTTTCCAAATTGAAATATAAATTTGTCATTTAGAAACCAATTTTAAAAACATCTTTTTTGTATGAAATGAAAGGCGGGCATAGTGGATTGAAACAACATGAACAAATTAACAAGTAAATGACAATTTTTACATTTTTAGATGACTTAATTCTTTATATTAAAAAGACTGTTTAGCCAAAATCAAAAGAAAATGAGCTGTTAAATAACTCAGACCATCTAAGGGTGCTTTCACATCTGTAGTTCTCTTCAATTGGTCCGGACAAAGGGCAATAAATGATAAATTGTTGCATTTTCTACTGTCTTAGGGTCGTTTTCATGCCACTCAACTGGTTTGGACCAAAGTCAGTAGTAACGAACCAAAATGCAGTCATCTGACAAAATCTACATCTCTCATTGGCCAGATGTTGTTGAACATAATTCCTAAACTGCTTATTGATTGGTCAGAATTGACGTGCGGTAAAATGCCAATGAACTCCCACGAGTAAACAAAACTGGCCGCGGCTGGAAAACGATTTTTTAATGCATCGCTCGTCACTTCAGGAGGAGGCGTGAATTAATTTAGCTAAACCAGGGTTCATTTAAAAGTGTCCCAAGAAAGCAGGTCTCGGTACGCTTATTTAGTCCGCTTTTGGTGTGCACTCGAGTACAATTGCTGCGTTCTCAACTGCCCAAATGAACCACACCAAAAGGGAAAACAAACTCTAGTGCGATTCAATCAAACTAAATAAGGCAGGTGTGAAAGCACCCTAAGATCTCCTGTAGTTTTCTTCAGTCCAGCAATAAAGAAGCTGAAACTGTCCTTGGATAAGAACTGACAAACGGTTTTGCTTCACCTTAGTGTATCAGGAACCACATGTTTATTCTCTTCAGCCTGTTTTTTTTTTTTTTTGGGGTGGGGGTTGCTAAGCAACTAAATCAAGTCGATTTTCATGCACATTTTGTGAGTAAAGTTGGTTCTATAACTCCAGCAGCAGCATTTACTACAGAGCTCTACACTGACAAGCAGTGCAAAAATCACGCTTTAAATCAGAAACAATTTAATTGGATTATAATGAAATAAAGATAATCATTCTCTGATGACAACAATTTGCAAAGGTTTCCAGTGAACTATTTCAATGCTGTAAGTAAAAATATGACATTCAATACAATTAAAAAATATATATAAATATTTTTTACGACAAACTTGCCTAATAACTTCAGTCAATTGTTAGTAATTATGTGAGATGATTCTGTAGTTGAGTGATTATTAGTTACTCTGAATCAACAGAAGCAGTAAAATCTTAAAAACATTATAGGGATTTCTTGGGTTTATTCAGGTTTGGAGTTTCTGCACAAGAACGACAATAGCCTTCGGATGGGATTTACTACTGAACACACAACCGTGCATCCCTACAAGGTGTGTAAGACAATTTTGTAATTTTAATTAGCAATCGTTTGCTATTTCACATCAATTAATCACCCAGTCCTACTGTTTTTCCTACTGTGCTGGAAGTAAATGACTTCCATTGTATGAATCACCAAAGAATCTTCTAAAAATATTGGCATGGATTGGGGATTAACAATATATTGTTTAAGCATCGATATCGATATCGCAATGTGTTTATCTGCAATAGTCACGTCGCAATATTAGATTTGAGATTTTATTAAATATTATTTTTATTTTATTGTATACATTTATTTATGACCATGTTATTTTACATTTGATTGTTAAATTTTTGTATGTGATACTTTTAGATCTCTTAGAAACCATAAACCAGTTAATATAACTTATATTTTTGCTCTGTCATATTTATATATGATTTATTATATTTTATGAAGATGCACTGCATAGAAAAATACTTATTTACCACAGTTAAACTAAATTACTAAATCTTTCCAAATAGACCTATTCAAATAATCTGGTGGTATATTGTATCACAATATGTATCATAGCAAAACAAAATACCATGCTGGCCTAACCTTGCTTAAGGATGGCTTAATTTTCATTATTGGATAAACTATTCCTTAAAGACTCGATAAATATAGAATCCCTAGAATACCACCTGATTTTACAAAGGCACTTTAATCTGCACTCATGTTTGATCCGAGTTTACAATTTGAGCCTTCTGTAATTCATGCACGCATCTCTTCCTATTACAGAAAGAAAGAATGCTTGTTTTGGAATTACAGCCCCTATTTTAAATATTTGGTGGCAGTGACATTTAACCAGAAGTGGAATTCATGATCATGCTCACCTAAGCGAAGAACGGAATGATGGGATATTTATGATGGGTCATTTAGTTTAAAGAGAAGGGAAGGCTGCTTCGGTGGAAGAACCTGAAGAGACCAAGGGGAGAATAAGAGCTCAATTCACACCCACTGACATTTTCCAGAGGACAAATCAATTAACAGGGTATTAAAGTGAGGCCGTGTGTGACTAAGTCCCCAGGCTTTCAAAGTGTAACTGAGAAAGCACCGCAGAACACATGTGCACGCATACATCATAACAAAAGCATGAATAGACATATTCTAGATAAAGCATGCACAAGAATAACACTGCTTCAACAATACAACATGTCACCTTCATGTGCTGCTGTTTAAAAAAATCCAATGGGATCTTGAGGAGTGAGACTAGATAAAGGTTCTCTAATGATCTAAAGACTTGAATATGTTTATAATCATCTGAAATGTGCTGCAACATATTTTTTTTATTAAAATTATAATACAATAAAAATGTATATCTTATTCTGTTTCCACAATTGCCCAAACTATTCATTCATTTCTCAAAATGAAGACACTTTTTTCCCAAAGACACACACACACTCATTCATTCATTTTATTTTCGGCTTAGTTCTTTTTTTAAAAGGGGGGTCACCACAGCGGAATGAACTGCCAACTTATCCAGCATATGCTTATGCAGTGGATGCCCTTTCAGCTGCAACCCATCACTGGGAAACATCCATATACGCTCATTCACACACATACACTACGGACAATTTTAGCTTACATAATTCACCTGTACCACATGTCTTTGGACTTGTGGGGAAACCAGAGAACTCGGAGGAAACCCACGCAAGCATGGGAAGAACATGCAAACTACAAACAAAAACGCCAACTGACCCAGCCGAGGCTCGAACCAGCGACCTTCTTGCTGTAAGGCGAACGTGCTACCCAGTTCGCCACCGTGCAACCTATCTTTGCCATGATGACAGTAAATAATATTAGACTAGATATTTTTCAAGACACTTATATACTATTTAAAATGACATTTAAAAAGGCTTAACTAGGTTAATTATGCTAACTAAGCAGGTTAGGGTAATTTGTTCTATAGACTATCAAAAACGTATAACTTAAAGAGGCGAATAATTTTGCCCTCAATGTTTTTTTAAAAATTAAAAACTGCATTTATTCTAGCCAAAATAAAACAAAAAAGACTTTGTTCAGAAGAAAAAATATTATCAGACATACTGTAAAAATGTCCTTGCTCTGTTAAACATCATTTGGGAAATATTTCAAAAAGAAAAAAAATTAAAAGGGAGGGCTAATAATTATGTTAATAATTCTGTAAATAGGAAAGGAAACTTTAAAGTGATGCATTTTAAATGATGGTCACATTAAGGATGGTCACAATTTAATTATGACGTTGGTCAATGTTTGTGTATCACCATTTTAATCATTAATAATGGTCACATTCAAAAAAGCATGCAGGAGGTATGGTATCCTTATTTAGGCATAATGAGCAAATCATGCTCCATGTGACGTACTGTACATAATCATGTGACTTTTTCCACTTTTGTCATTGTAATCATGCACAGCAGATGACTGTGCGTCAGTGTGTCTGTCTGGAGGGCAGAAACTACAATAGACCAAGATTAAATGAAAGAGGAAGAACACGGGCTACTGTCTGGAACTTCTCTGAGTGCTCAACATCATTGTGGTATGAGATAATGAAAAACACCCATCAAACAACAACTCAGTTGTACTAAATGTCTATAGTTTTCTTGAACTCAGCAGACTTGTTCTCAAGTCGAAGTACTTTGAATTGTCTCAGTAACAAACACAACTATAGTTACTTTCCGACAAGGACTTACTGAGCAGCTCTTTTCTATGGCTTACATAATAAATTCCTCTGAGGCAAATCCTCAAAACTGTGTTCTTAGTTGATCTTAGTTGATTAGCAAAAAAAAGCACATCAACAAACATCATGTAGAGTCATGCCTCAATTACCATGTCTGCTTAAAATGCAATAAATGACTGTTGCTGAGGCATAGACTTTCATCCTGATCCAAAAAATTTGTCTCTAATATCAAAGAAGAATTCTGCTTAAGATTTCTTTTTATATATAAAACATGCTAACAATTTATTTTTCCAATTTATCACACTAACCAATTTTAGTTTTTTTTTAATTTTTTTTAATCAAATCAAGTGTTCCTTAACAACTCCTAACAGGAGGCAAAAGTTTAAGTAATCAAATATTGCTTCATTAAAAAAAAGTAAAGCTAAAGCTAAAACGCTGCAGATTTTCTCCTCTTGTTCCAAGTGTAAGCATTGCCATCTCCACCCCTTTTATGGGACAGTCCTACCTGAGACTTGAATCCATCCATGGTGTTGATTGGGAGATGAACAGAATAAAGGGTTCTCCATTGTGTTTCTCCTCCTCTGCATCTTTGTGGTTGGTAATCTGAACCAGTAAGCATAGGGATAATCTACTGAGAGAGGCGTGCATCCCTCTATCCGCTACAGTACGATGCTCTGAGTCTTTTCAGCCGCAGCATGTGTGTGCTTCAGAGAGGGAGAGAGAAAAAGAGAGAGTGTGAGTGCAAGATCAAGATAGAGAGAGAGAGAGAGAGAGAGAGAGAGAGAGAGAGAGAGAGAGAGAGTGAGAGAGAAAGTGAGAGAGTAAGAGAGAGAGAGAGAGAGAGAGAGAGACAGAGAGAGAGAGAGAGAGAGAGAGAGAAAGAGAGAGAGAGAGAGAGAGAGATGAAGGGGGACAAGAGAAACCAATTCATTCTAGCTGATCTTGTTTGAAATTTCATTTAATGCTGATCGAAGTAAAAGTGACAAATATTGTATCATCTGAAGTAGCAGGTTTTCCTGTTTATTCATTAAAACAAATAAACAATACATAGAATTAAATTAAATTAACGTTTAGTCTAAAATTTACTTCAGTTGTTACAGTAATGAATGCACATATGTATTTATACAAACTGTACATTCAATATAGTAGAGTTGTTGGACAATTTTGATAAGTAACAGGCTAATATTATTTTCATTTTTGTAAACCATCTAATTTAAAAAAATCTGAATTGAAAAGGGAATGGCAAAGCAAAACTAAAATACAACTTTTCTAGATAACAAATATATCAAACCACCACAATTAATTTATGCAAAGTAACACTTCCATTGTGTTTCTTTGTGTTACAACAACAGACACAAGTTTTCTCCCTGAATGCTATTGAACATTAAAGGATTAGTTCACCCAAAAATCTAAATCTTATTAATTATTACTCTCTGACAGCACCCTGATGGTCCTGACTAGTGTAAAAAATACAGATATATATACACATCACTAAATATTGGTACTCAAATTAGGGCTGGGTGATTTGGCCTAAAATCATAATCTCAATTAATTGAACTTTTTAACTCGACTACGATTAATGAATAATTATTTAAACTTTTTTTTTTTACCCTCGTAGTCCACTGGTAAGTTTGTACAGTAAATATGCTCACATACTACAAGTGAGAGATTTTAGAATGAAGGATGCATTACTTGATTTTAAAGTAATCAAAAAGGAAACACACACAATCTATAATTATTTATTGAACTTCAACATTAAAAAACTAAAATGGAAAAAAAAAAAAAACGTTGCCTAAAACCAGCAATCACTCTTTATTATAAAAAAGTTAAAATAAAGAACTTGCACTTCTGGAAACAAATTCGATTATTAATATTATGTTTTTCATTTTAAAAGTAGAAAATAAACAGTATCTCTTTAAAATAAAATAACTCTTGCATATCCTGCAAATAATATTTTAACTTCAGAAAACAAAGATTTTAAATTTAAATAATTGTATTGTAATGGAAAATATGCCATCTCACAGCATGTCTGGCGCAGCTTCAAATCATCATCAATGTAGTGCAAACGTGCAATGTGTAGTTACATGTTTTGAAAGGTGCGCAGGTATGCGACCACGCGAAGGCTGCGCTGGACAATACCTGTGCATACCCAAAAGTAATTGGAAAAAAAAAAAACCTGGAAAAATTTGATCGATTATAGGTTCTGAATGCCGACTTAGATTGCATTTCTATAAATCGCCCAACCCTAACTTAAATCTTTAAAACGATACAATCTTGCTTTCGGTTAGTATCGATACAGGCTTTGCTCCTCTCTTCTCAACAGCCAGGAGTTGAATAACCATCAAACTTATTTTATAATTTAACACATGAAGATATGATTACAATATAATATGAACACATTCTCTGTTGGCACACTCTCTCTTCCTGCTGCCTGATATTAATTAAGATAACATTACACTAATTTTGTTTATTATATTGTATTTTGGAATTAATGACTGCTGACATACCCCATATAAAATGTAATTTTACTTGAAAATGCAAAACAATATATAGTTTAGCCATTTTTTGTTCTTTTTACTTCATTTGAATACTCTTAATATTGTGGAATTTGTTAATATTATGAAAATGATATTGATATTTTTCAAGGTAACGTATTAAAGCTGGACATTCCAGCATCATGACAACACTAGCCTCGAATTTTTCATGTTTTAAAAGAAAAAAGAAAAATACCCAAAAACATTGTGAAAACAGTCCATGTGTCTTCAGACATTTAATCGGACTATTAAGTGACACTGAGAATATGATTGTGCACACAAAAACAAAAACAACTTCGTTTAACAGTTTTTTCTCATTATCTGTATAGGGTGTACATTCATGACCACTGTGCACCTACTGTATGTAGACCCCAAATGTCCACACACAACTTTTAAGTTTAAAACAAGGCACAGGGACATCAGTGATATAATATACAGTACAGTATATCTGCAAAACAACGCAGTGTTCTTTGTTTTATGTGCCCACAAATCTATTCTCGTAGCTTATATTGTGATTGAACCAGTGATAGCATATGGTCCATTTTGAGCATGTTTTTGGTAATTTTCTCGGTCATATTTCTCTATAGAGGATGAGGGAGCTCTCAGGTTACACCTAAATGTCTGGGCAATGATAACATGTAGGCTACACGGGTATTTTTTGTAAGCAGCGTTTTTATGAGCATAATTTTAATTTTTGGGCGAACTAACTTACACTAACCATCTTCCGTACACTTTTCGCTATTCAGCGCATTTAAACGACCCCTCCTCTGTCATTCAAAGCCAGATAAGCATGTTGTGTGTTCATTCACTGGGGGAATACCTATTACACAATCCAAATCTAGATTGATGTCTTTTGGACCAGTAGTTTTTGAGAAAAGATTAGAAAAGTACCGTCTTCGCATGTGTAAGGAAGATGATAGGTATTAACGGTGTTCCGTACACAACAAAAATATGTTCCGTACAGGGCGCATAACTTTAATTCACTGGCAAAAATGGGCATTGTTTGAAGTCCTATAAAAAACATATGTCAGAATATACTATTGTTGTGTTTAGCTTGAAGTTAATGATATATTTAATAACTCTTTTATGAAAGTTTTAAATTAAATAGCTTCACAATCATTTAATTTTTATATTATGTTTATTTTATAACAGCATGACAATTTAAAATATTAACACATTAAATTCATGCAAATTAACGCTAACTTGACTGACCTTTTATAAATATAAACATCATCACTGCACAAAGACGACCCAAACAGCATTTGCAGCCTCTCTCTCATAGGCTCTCTCTGGCGGAGAGCTGCGTCATGCGGTCATCACTCACAACTGACGTTTAAATATCCTAATTTTAAAGCATTTATTCAACAAAAGATTATTTATTTAACAATTTGTGATAACATAATATTTACTTCATAAAGACAGTAATATGCATGTGTGATGCATAAATTAAATGCAAATGCAGTCATTGCTTTAAATGTCTCCCCTCCCAGGTGACACTGGCACTTAAGCACAGTCTATTTTCAAGCGCATTAGGTGGACATAGCAAACTTACTGAATTTACTCGGAAACATAAAGTAGGAAGGTCTCTGTAACGCTTAAGATTGAAAGAGTGAGAAATAAAGATTAAACAAATATATTGTAGAGTGGTGCAATTAATCGAAAATCCGATTTCGATGTCGATTAGGGCTTGTAACGATTATGAAGAATCATTAATTAAGATAAACGATTATTCCATTATTTACCCCCCCCCCTTCCAGTTCTCCTCACTTGTTGCTCTTAAAAGCGCGAAAGACTGCATGCTTATGTGTGTGCAGCGCGCAGACAGTCAGAAGCATGTGGTCTGCACTTGGTCTCATTCGCACACTGTGACGAGAAGAGTGCAGACATCTAAAGTCATCTTAACGTGAGCGCCAAATAGGTGTCAAAACGCGGTGCTTAGTGTTTATTCATATTAACCCTCATTTTGTAATAAGGATCAAAAGACACGTGAAAGCAAAACCATTAAAGTAACAGCGCGCAATTCTTACTGCCGCCTTTTTTATCATTATTAATAAAACAATGAGAAAATCCCTCAGTGCTCTTGACTGAAGACTTTTGTAGCTAAAGTGTTTTTCTTACAGTGAAGATGCTTAAACCACAGTTTGTTTCATATTTTTATTCCATTGTATTTATTTCTCTTTCCTTTGCAGGGTGGAAAATAACTGTATATATACAGTTGAAGTCAGAATTATTAGCCCTCCTGAATATTAGCAAGCCTTTTCCCCCAATTTTTGTTTCATGGAAAGAAGATTTTTTTCAATACATTTCTAAACATAATAGTTTTAATAACTAATTTCTAATAACTGATTTTTTTTTCTTTGCTATGATGACAGCACATAATTTTAGACTAGATATTTTTTAAATACAAGCATTCAATTTCAAAGTGTGATTCAAAGGCTTAATTAGTGTAATAAGGCAGTTTATTGTATAACAGTAGTTTCTTCTGCAGACAATCAAAATATACATTGCCTAAAGGGGCTTATAATATTGACCTTAAAAGATGTTTCTTAATATTTAAACCTGCTTTTATTCTAGCCAAAACAAAACAAATAAGCCTTTCTCCAGAAGAAAAAATATTAAATACTTTTAAAATTCCTTGCTCTGTTAAACATAATTTGGGAAATATTTCTTTAAGAAACAAAAATTCTGAGGAATGCTAATAATTTTGACTACAACTAATAATCGTTCGGAATAATTACAATTATGACAAAAAATAATCGTAATTACGATTTTTCCCAAAATCGAGCAGCCCTAATATATAGCTTGCCTACGACCCGTAAGTATTTATTCAGAGATCAGCGTTGAAAGGTAACGTTAATATGTACGGAACATTGTTGTGTACGGAATATGGTTAGTCTACAACGTTTACATTTTAATTTGTGATATTTTGAATCTGAGGACAGTAATGAAAAATAGCAATATTTACTTTGATACTTTAAAAAAATATCAATAATGTTATTTAATGTAATGTGTGCAAAAGTACAAAAAACAACAACGTTAAAGTACTTTGTTTAGTGTTTCTAAAGTGATTCACCGCAAACGCTACTGAAGTTAGAAAAGTGTGTGGTATGAAACTTTAGAGACGGTCCCTAAATGTTCAAATACCAACTGTCCACCATTAAACCAACTTTATGTAATTAATGTCCAAAAATGTTTCTAAATTCGACCGTATACATAAAGGTTAAAACACACGTGGCAAACGATACAGAATTTACACATCTTACTTTTAAACAACGATATCTGACAAAAGATACGTTAACGTTACGTTACCATTTTCTCCTTCCTCCAATGTTCCAGTCAGCGTGCGTAGTGAAGAGATTTCGCACACTTTCCTCCATAATTATCGCAATTTCGCATTTCAAACGCATGTACTGTACGTGATGTTTCATCGGTGCAGTCTGAAAATAACGAGTATTTTACCGGATTTAAAAAATAAATAAAAATCTGCCTCACAGAAGCCACGAAAGTACATACATCGTTGGATCCGCCCCCTATCAGAGTGAAATGATTGACAGTCACAGCCTCCAATTAACGCAAGCGGATCGTAACCGTGACACCAGGGAGTATTTTTAACGCAATTATTATAAACATTCTGTTTTGTTGTTGTTGTTTGTAGAGTTTTGATATTCTAGCTTAGTCATATGGTGATACCCAATGTCAGTTTGCATGATCAGTTATTAATTCTGTTCCTTTTGATGGGCTGACCATGCAGTGCAGTGGGCTGTTTATTTATTTCATAATAAAGGCACGTGTTCTTAGCATGCAAGTGGAGTTTTGCCTAAAACAAAAGTTGTCAATGGGCTATATGCACGCATTACTTCCGCGTTTTGTCTAAGGCCGCGGTCCAGCTTCCGGTCTGGTGATTTTAAGCGGAGGTGAACAGTATGGCAGAGTCGTCAATATTTACTCGCTGTTTGCGAGTAAATTATGGTCAACGATGTGCAAATGATTGTCCGGATGTGCTCTACAACACCGCAGAGCAAAGCTTGAGAAGGGTTTTAAGTTGTATGCATCTTCCTACCTGTGCAATTATGAAGGTAAGTTCAGCTAGCCTGAAGGCTAACTTTAGCGTTAATACTCTTACGATCCGTCCATCTGCAGCTTTATCACGTAAGTAAAAATAATCATATGTGTACGTAATTCTGTCTCAAAGTGTCAGGTTAAAACAGGGCAGGAATAAGATCTCAGTGAGAGCTCATTACTACCGATAGATCTATGAAGAAATCTTAGTCTCCTCACCAGCTGAGAGTAGGACAGCATACATGTGAAATTCTGTCCCATTCATACTTTTACTGTTCTAAAGTGACCACCACTGTTCAGTTCGGATAATTACAGAAACACAGATGCTGTCTTAGCTTGTAAGCATGATTATTGAGCAAGATATATTAGGAATAAAATAATACAATGCCGTTCCATCCACAACAGACAAATAGCACTGTCAATGCTGAGATTTATTGCTGAAACAGTGGAGATGACAGATGCAGTGTAACAGTGTAGATAGCATGCTTTCTATTTAGTCGATAACATTGTAATTAAATGGGAGGGTGACCCAAAACAATAAGGTGTCATTAGTTAATTTCACATCAACAATTTGTCTATTTCAATATTTATTAGTTTTTTACATTAATGAACAAATGCCTATTCATTGTGCTTGTTAACTCACAATGTAATAGCTAATGTTAACAAGCATGACTTTGGATTTTTATTTATTAGTAAATTAGTTTAACAATGTTAAATATTAAATAGTTATTTTAATAGTGAGCAAATACATTAACTAATGAAACCTTATTTTAAAGTGTGACTAAAGGGAGCTACTTTTAAATCATTTAAATTAATGATTTACTGTGTAGTTTAATCTGATGATATTGCTGCAGATGCCTTTAAAAAGAAGATATTTTGAAGAAAGCTGAAAACCTGTAACCATTGACTTTCATAGTATGAAAAAGAACTACTATGAATATCAGTGTTTGCAAGTTTCCAGCTTTCTTCAAAGTATTTTTGTTTGTGTTAAACATCAGAAAGAAACTCAAACAGGTTTGGAACAAGTGAAGGATGAGGAAATAGAATTTTCAGTTTTGAGTGAACTGCCTTTAATGACTCTCTTTAAAAACCTATTAATATTCTTGTTTCTGTTTTCTAGGTAACATTATGAGATTCAGAGCTAGAAAATTTTATGTGTTACTCCATCCTGTAGCGGACATCCGTCAGAAGATCCATGCCATCGTCTGCTAGTTAATAGCTCCTGCTCTTGTGTGGCTGAGAGTGGGATATGCAAACATTTGGTTGCTTTGCTTTTCCAGACAGCCCATTACTCTGAAATGTGTAATGTGAGTTGTCACATGAACAATTGTTTGGAATGGATCAATTATGTGTTAAGTTCCATGAAACAGATGGGTGTTTATTTACGTATAAGCCCAAATACCTCTATGCACAAGTTACAGAAGAAGCACCTGATTCAAGAAAACAACTGATTTAATGTCATTTTTTTCTGTTCATCTGAATAAAATATTTTTTCAAAATGTTACTTTTTTTGACAATTTTTATTTCAAATTACATACAGTGAATTATATTTTATATGTACAGTAAATAAAATAAAGGTCTTTATTCTGAATTGAAAAATTGCACTTAGAAAGTAGCTTAAGAAATGTTTATGTATATTAATGTTCATTTTTTTTTACTTCAAAGGCAATGAAAATAAATTATTATTTGCCATAAAAGCTCCTTTCTTTAAATGTCTGCATCCGGTTGGCACTCGAGCCTCGATCAGTTTGCTAGACTGAAATTGTCAGCTACACTCTTGTTTTTTTTCTGTTTCTGTAAAATTCTCACGTTTAATATCAACAACCCACCTCTTCTGCACGACTTTGTCTTTTGGAAACATGTGGAAACTAAGGTAAGAGTTCAATTTTTGACACTGTGCATTGCTGAACACAGCAGTGGTATCTACAAGTACTGTTCTCACGTCTTTGAAATGACACTTTTAAACGTTTAGATGTCATATTTATGTAGCTGACATAAACATATATAAGTGGGCTATAATGGCATAAAACATTAAGACAACTGTCCAAAACATTACAAGTTTTTATCAGTAGCGCTCCTGTTGTAGCACTGTACTTTACGATCGGCGGAAGTAGGCTCGGGGTCTTAAATTCTACCGGAAATGCGTCACGCGCCGCCGTGCATAGAGCCCATTATTTTTTGACATTATTTTGTCAATAAAAAAGTCATTTAACCTGCTATTACTAGCAAACTGTTGACAAATTATTGAAACTGACAAATTATAGATAACAAATGGTACTATAAAAATTGTTTTCTTTCTTTTATATTTTCTTCACTAATGATTTGGAAAGTTTCTTGAAATTAAGTTTGAGTGATTTTGTTATTTCGTTCAATTAAATTAAATTCTATGTCCAACTTAAAAATGTTCTTGGCAATATTTCAAAAACTTAGGCTTTGAACAGATCTGCACTTGAAGTCAACATTATTAGCCATGTTGAATTTTTATTTATATTTTCCGAATGATGTTTAACAGCTCAAGGGATTTTTTTTACGGTATTTCCTTTAATATTTAGTTTAGTTTAGTTTAAGTTTAGTTTGGCTACAATAAAAGCAGTTTTAATGATTAAAAAAAATTAAAATAAAAAGTTAAGGTCAATATTATTAGCCCCCTTAAGCAATGTTTATTTGTTGATTGTCTACAGACCAAACCACTGTTATACAATGATTTGCCTAATCTAAGTTATTAGTTAATAAAACTACTATGTTTATAAATGTGTTGAGAAATCTTATTTTCTGTTAAACAGAAATTGGCCAAGAAAAAAGTAAGGGAGGGCCTAATAAATGGAGGGCTAAGAATTCTGACTTCAGCCTTATCTGTATTGTATTTAAATGTGCATGTTCTTGTGCAATCATGTAATTCATCACTTCTGTTCTTGGATTTGTTATTTGAAATCATAAGTCATTGACTGCTTCAGAGTCTTCCCTCTGTTATAACATTCCACATTCTAAACCTAAACCAACTGAGCCCACAGGAATATGGAATATTGTAGACAATCGACATGTTCCTTTAAGCAATAAGTTTGACAAAAAAAAAAATGAAACCAATTAAATTTAGCTAATATATATATATATATATATATATATATATATATATATATATATATATATATATATATATATATATATAAACACATTTAAAAAGAATAAATATTAAAAGGTCAATCAATCATTCAATAAATTGTATTTGAAAGTTGACCATAATTACTTTCAAAGAAAAAAAATAGATCCTGACTATCTAATGAAACATATTTCAAACAAACTTATTCTAAATAAACACTTACATGATGAGATGCTCTGTTGTCATATAAACTGTTATACCACTGAATAAATTTTCATAGAGCATTTGCTTAACTTGTTTGACAGCCAAATGAAGTAACATCTACAGACTTCAAAATGAGGAGTTGATTATTAACCCTTGACCAATGATGCATACAAACTAAACAGTGTAGATACTAAAAGATTAAAACTGCAGTCCATAAGTTTTGCCTCAATCACCATCTCTGTGTGAAATCTGCAACTGCAGTTCACTGTTGTGCTTGAGTGGCTCCTCAGAGTGGATGTGTTAATGTGTGGCTGTCAGTAACAACACCACTGTGGTGCTTTGCTTCGCAATCACATATTCTACATTTTGGAAGTACTGCATGACCCAAATTAGAATTTTCCCCAGAAAATGTCGTCTAAACAAGTAACACATTTGACAACTTTTTCTGAATAAAAAAAATAAGTTAAATTGACTAACTTTGAAAAAAAGATCATATATTATACATTTTTTAAAGGATTTACAAGAATAAATATTCAACAGTCAATCAATAATTTCAAATGATTTAAAAGTTAATAGTCAATTTGAAAGTTGACTAAAACAAAACAGATCCTGACTATTTAATAAAACACTTATCCACTTAAAAACACACATACATGTACAGTCACTGAGCTGTAGCCATACTTTCCTATTTTTCTTCTATACTTAAAGTTACTTAAAACATGAGCCATATGTGCTAAACTTGTTAATGATAACATTTAGCATTGATATAAAAAGTAGCCTTTAATTTAAAACCATTGTTTCACTGTAGGTAGGTGTAACTGGATAGATCATGTTTGGTGACATCATTATGACTGGGTCTCAGTAAATCCTGACACACAAAAGCATTTCCCCTCACATCTGCACTTCTATTGTGCTTTCACAGGTCCGGAAACTCCATTTCAAAAGCCACACCAGTGCACCTAAAGTGAACCCCATTCAACCAAACAACAACCAAAAAATAAAGTTCAGGTACACAGTGTGTTTTTATTTCATTTTCCCCACATTCACGTTTATACAATAGTGAGAATCAACATTTACAGCATAATACAATAAAAATCATCAACAAACATACTGTAGCACATTCAATAATGTTCAATTCATGTAGTCAAAGTTGAAAAAACAAAAAATTTGTTATATTAATGTATTATTTGAGAAACAAACAAAAAAAAATAAATAAAAATCTGCCCAACCACCACATTGGAACGACCAAACAACTGGACATAAGGTACCTTATACAAATGAGCATATTTTAACAATTAAATTGTAAATATAATAAACAGTAAATTGTTTTAGTGTTAAATTAAGTTCTAATTATTATTATAAAGCTGTTCACATCAATCAAAGAATCAATAAATATACAAATGATTAAGTAGTACATAAGTATGCATAACTTACTGTATATGCAATATCTCAGGTCACTGAAACAGACCATTTTAAAAAAGACTCATCTTGAAATTGTCAAAATGTTTTTTTCTTTTTCTTTTTTTCTTTATTAAATCACTTTTTGCTGTGCATTTCCCTGCTTAAGTTTGTCTGACAAACATGGTTTTGTAAACTGTGGATAATGTTGCAATAATTGCAAGTTGCTATTGTTCCTCTATTTGAATGAAAAGCATCCGCTAAATGCATAAATGGACTAGTGTAACCACATCAGAAAAATCTCTTTCCATAAAAACTCATCCAGTAAATGTATACCGTGATCTTCATATTAATAACATTCATTTATCGTTTTTTTCTGTAAGGTCCAGGGTTTTCATTAACCTGAGAATTTGTGCTTGCATGTGCTCCATTAATCCCTTTATGTTTCTGCAAACTGAGTTCCCACAGAAGACATTGTGGGACATTGAGAAGTCAACTGTCAGTTACTGCTTCTGCTATCCACTTCAAGTAGTGCTGGCTTCCATCATTAATGGGAAAAGTGATGATTTCTGGGATGTCATATGGGTGGATGGCTCTGAGGGGACACAAAGGAAATAGAGGTAACATTTCAATAATTCTGATCTCTAACCTGAAAACTAAAAAAATTGCACATTGAAGCAGCTGGCAATTGTGTGGCATTAGAAGGCACTGATGGAATCCTTGTTAGTCATTTTATTATTTCTTATAATCGCTTTAGTGGTGTTTTTGCACAATAATAAGTATTTTTAGTAGAAGCCAAAAAATAAGAATGCATGTTTTTGTATAAATAACAGGCTGTGTAGATTTTCAGTACATTGTTTGAACATGCTGATTCTACAGTACATGCACAATACATGCAACAAGGAAACTGTAAAATTAAGTTCAATTTAATTCAATTCATCTTTATTTCTATAGCGCTTTTACAATGTAGATTGTGCCAAAGTAGCTTAACATAGAAGTTTTAGTAAATTGAAACTGCCAGTCCAATTTTCAGATTCAGTTCAGTTTTAGATTCAGTTCAGTGTGGTTTATTTTTTAGCTCCACAAGTCCCAAAACCAAAAAAGCCAGTGGCGAGAAACAAAACTTAACCAATTGACGAAAATGAAGGGGAAAAAAACCCTAGAGAGAAACCAGGCTCAGGTGGGCTCAACTATTTCTCCCCTGGCCAAACGGTTACCCAAATCACTTCACTGAAATGCTCAGTGAAGTAGTCAACATTTGAAGTGGATCATCACCTTTGATTAAAGTTGTCCTAAAACTATCCAACAACACCCCTTTCTTGTTTTAAAACAATTTTGAAAAACTTTGATCCACTTCAAATGTTGACTACTGTATTCTAAATCAGCAATTTGTTCATGTTTAACAAACATTAGTCAATAGTAAATGTTTACATACTGTACATTGCAGGTTGTGCACTCAAAAGTACAGTAATATCATTTGTTTGTTAAATAACATAGTTTAAAAAAAACACAAGCAAATTTCTCTAAAATTTCAATAATGAAGCAACCAATAAAAAATTACTGGGAATTTTCTGGAAAGAGATCTCATGTAAACAGGCACTTTTTGAAAACACTAGTAAATTTGTTCAGCCAATTTTCCAGAAAAAATTTGTAACATTACTGGTATTATCACAGAATGCTGCTCTGTCTGAATGCAGAAAGAAAACTGCCAGAAAAGCACATACATGCTTAGAACGTGCTGATGTGAAATGTTTGAATCCTTTTCCAGACACATTCAGTTGCTGCTTGTTAGTCAGATAGTTAGTCAGTTTATATGTTCCTTCTTAGTGCCAATGATGGAAAAAATTATCAATAAAATTCTTATGATAGACCCTGTGATTTCCGCTGCATTCAGCTCTGTGATGCGCATAGATGTAAAGGAGTGATTTGTTGAGTCATATTTCGATAAAAAACAGGTAGTCTATCATTTCAAAAAACATCTCATAAGCACTAACACACACTCAAACGTACATCTTGACATGAATGCGTTTATATCTTTCATCAAAGTTGTTCACAATTCTTTTCCACAGAATTTGTAACGTAGTCAAATATGTAAACAAAGTGTTTTTTAGCTGCAGATAGCGCTTCTGCCTCAGATGGTAGATCTGATCACATTCCTATTAAGTATTTTGGTTCTTCTCTGGGACAAAAGCAGCTGCATGAATGCTAAAGTTTCAAATGAAAGTAAAACCATCAAGAAAAATCCTGACCCACTTCATGTTTACAAATACAAGCACAGCCCATTAGAGGTCATTTCTGCGGCCCGTTCTTCGTACCTTGCTTAAATGATCTAAGATGATTTGGCAGATCCTGGATCTGTTCATCTTGATAACTGATCTCTGGCTAATTTGGTTCTTTAAACAAGTTCGCAAATCAGATTAAAATATCTGGATAAACTGATCTGAGATCGCTGTGTGTGTTGTAAAGGACAGATCTATCAATCCTCGAAATCATGATCAGCAACGCAACGATTGGCTGACGACAGCAGCGTAATGACATCATCTGATTAATATTCAATTATCCATGTGAGCTACATTACATAAAATGAGCAGTAAATGGTTTGTTAAATTTGACATGCAATAACTTTCCACGTTTGTTGTGGGCTGCAGGCTTTACACTTTCATGTGTCAAGACTATTCATCATGTATTTCAATGCATATCAATGTATTTAGTTCTACATTTAGACAATATTTTATTATAGTAGCCTAGGTCTACTCAAGTTTTATTAATCGGCGTAAGGAATAACTGTATAAATTAATTTCGCTTTAAAAAAAGCATTTTTGATATCGGTAAAGGTATCAATAACCGGCATATTAGTGATCAAAACATGTGCTTGACTGCATAAACTATTATACTTTTTTTCTTATTTTTTTAAAAGTCGAATATTGTGCATGTACGCATTTGCATTTTCTTCTCTTTGAAGCACAAGGTGGCAGTCTTAACTTTACATATATAGTTAAAAATAAATATATATTTACTATTTTCCCGTATGTGTATATAACTACTGCAAGAAAATGTCAGCATTCGGTACATACAATACACCTGATCTAACCCCGTTTATATAAAATTAACCTGCTCCTATTCAGGTTTGAGCTACTAGAACTGTTACTATGACAACAAGTCTCAGATGAGATTTGAAGAATGAAATGATCCTGGATCGTTTCAAATTGTCAACATCTAAATCCAGCTAATTGAGTAAATCCAGCTAATTGAGTAATCCACGTACGAAGAAAGGACCCCTAGTTAATGACGTCAGAATAAACCAGTATTTTGAAATGGATGTACCAACGGTCCAAAAAATAAATAAAAATCCAGAACGTCCTTGCCTTTGAGAAAAGTTTTTTTTTTTTAATAGTGATTTACCGTTAAAGCTATTTTAGACATTTTCTGGATTTTTAATAGTATTACCAGGTGAAAGGGACTAATGACGTGCTGTATAGTGGCATATATGAGCTGTGCATTGATGGATTTTTTCTTTAGTCATTGGACTTTCAGCAGGAAAAAAAAACATACTGAACTGAACTAAACTAAACTGAACTTCACCTCTGAAAACTGGACTGACACAGTTTCAATTTACTAGAAATTCTATGTTTCGCTGCTTTGACACAATCTACATTGTAAATTAAGAATTGAATTAAATATGTGTCTTTTACTAGTCACTTATAAGTGCAGTATTTAGTTTATAACTCTAATGTCTGAACCCAGAAAACAGCATTGACCTCATGCGCTAAATGAGCAGTGCTCAAGTTGCTGAGTTTAACTGCTTCAACACACATGCCAGGAGCTTTCTAGTACACCTAGTAAGAGCTTGATTAGCTGGTTCAGGTGCATCTAATTGAGGTTGAAGCTAAACTCTGCAGGACACTGGCCCATGGGTACCACTGTGCTAAACAAACCAACAGCAAAATGTCCTCAAAAATCTCCTCAAATCCAAGATAAGGTGGTAAGATGAGGAATGTCAACTTGCAGCCTTTGATTTAGATCTGCTTACAGTTGATTATTATAACTTTTTTGCAGCTTTCATATTTTCATTAAACATCAGATGTTTTTGTCACTTTTTGTTGACTGAACTCTGCAACCTTGCAAAGACATTTTCTATTCAAGAACAACATCATGAACATGAACTAAAACAGCTTCCTAAAGCTTTGTAGCTTTAGGGTTTATTAAGGGTGCTTTTGCTAACATTTTTTGGACAGCATTCGGTTTTCTACATTTCAGTTTTTTTATTAACATTATTATCAGCCAAAATAATATTTGCAGTTAATAAAAAAAAAACTGTGAAAACTACTCTAATGAAGGTTGAAAAGTTCCAGACCCCAAACATTTCTACAATAGTGTCCAATTATGTTGTTACTGAAAGCTCAGTTTAACAGCAGAAATTCTGTTCTTCAACACAAGGTGTTCAGAGACTGGCTCCATTCTTCACATCCTCCAGGTGTGTAAATTGAAGTTTCAACTGAAATAGCCAGTTTCAATACCACAGCTGGAGTCTCGAAAGCTTCTTTCTACCTCAAAGTGTTCATGTGCACCACAGGCTTGACTAGTCATTAAATCATTCAGGCTCTTTGAAAGCTCTGAGAAAAAGTTGTCCCGGATTTAAGTCAGACACGTATATAAATAGTTTTCTACATTCAGTTATCCATACTGCCATATTTCTGTCTTAGAATTTTAACCTGCGACTTATATTAATGGATATGCTCTGGCTTCAGTCCTTTATTCATTTTTTCACAACAACCCTTAAAGTGCGCAAGGTAAATGTTATTTGACCTTACAGGTAGTACAAAAGGAGGATTTTGTTAAGATTCAGACGACATCCTTCATACAAAGATGCTCTGTTGTCATGGAAACTTTTATACCAATGAATAAACCTTCATACAGCATTTGCTCAACTTGTTTGTCAGTAAAACTGTGTCTATACTGACTTGATGGTTACGATTTGATTATTATAGACACGTCTGCAGAAATATTCAAACTGAAGAACGTAAGTGTTGTCTTGATTACCATCTTTGTAATTTTGCATTACATTTCAATGTTTGAGTTAAATTGTGTTTTAGTGGCTCCTCAGAGTGAACTAATCTAATGTGTTGCTGCCAGTAACTGAACCGCTGTGATGCTTTGGTTCGCAATTACAGATTCTACATTTTGGAAGAACTGTATGACCCAGATTATCAGAAAACATCATCTGAGCACGCAACACATCTAACATTTTTCTAACTAACTAAAGAAAAGAACAAAGCATTAAATCTGACATTAATTCTCGAAATTATTATAAATGTTATACTTTGTTCTCAGTTATTATTAACAACATAAGAATTATGTGAACGCCTGTGTTGAGTGTGTATTACAGTAAATACCATTACCACTCAAATTAGAACACATTATCGCAGGTTTACCATTGTCAATCCAGCTAAGGTAGGGAGATTTGAACTCTAGGTGCCCTATCATACACCCAACGCAATAAGGCGCAAGACATGTTTGGCGCGATTTGTTGCTATTTTTAGACTGGTGCAACCCTAATTTTCACGTTTTTTTAACACATTGTATAAATAGCAAATCTATTTACGCTACTTTGTGGACTCGTGCATGTTCCTGTCTATAAATGAGGCGTGTTAAGGTGCATTGTTGCTGTGTTGCTATTTTAAGGAAGTGAAATAGACTGCGCTGTTAGTAAAAGTAAAAGCTGGTCTAAATTACAGTGCAGAGTGCTTAGTTATGTGCCTAAGCATTTTCAAATGCTTAATACATACAGAATTTACAGCAATAAGCAAATATCTTTACATATGAAAAAAATAAAAGACAAAATAATTTTTTACTACATAAAGATGAAGTCAGAATTATTAAAGCCCCTGAATTATTAGCCCCCCTTGATTATTGTTTACCCAATTTCTGTTTAGAGGAGAGAATATTATTTCAACACATTTCTAAATTTATTAGTTTTAATAACTGATTTATTTGATCTTTGCCATGATGACAGTAAATTATATTTGACTGGATATTTTTTAAAGGGTGACACGGTGACTAGTGGGTAGCATGTTCATCTCACAGCAAGTTTGCTGGTTAGAGCCTCAGCTGGGTCAGTTGGGATTTCTGTGTAGAGTTGCATGTTCTCGCCGTGTTCTTGTGCGTTTCCTCCGAGTACTCTGGATTCACCCACAAGTCCAAAGACATGTGGTACAGGTGAATTGGGTATGCTACAATTGTCTGTGAGTGTGAATGAGAGTATATGGGTGTTTCCCAGTGATGGGTTGCAGCTGGAAGGGCATCCACTGCTTAAAAATATGCTGAGTAGGTTGTCGGTTCATTCTGATAAAAATTATCAGACATACTGTGAAAATTTCATTGCTCTGTTAAACATCATTTGGAAAATATTTGAAAAATAAAAATACAAAAATTTAAGAGGGGCTTAATAATTCTGGTTTTAACAAAAGATACACTACCTCCATGCTTTCTTCATGTCCAGGGTGATTTATTCAGTTTATTTATGACAATTTGCATTTTTAATATAATGTTAAAATTATTAGTAGTGTTATTTATTATATGCATATTTATATTGATTTTTAATTGAAACAAGTTTAGATTTGTCCATCTGTCGGGTTTAGAGACGTCTGCATCACAATATGGGGCATAAGAATAGGAAGTGTATTTTGATATAACTTTTGACTACACTCCATTATTATTGATCATTTATTCGTTTGCTGGAAATTAGAACTGAACTAGTTAAAAATAGTTTAAAAAAAATCTTTGCGCTTAAACAAAATTAAATATGTAGGTTAATAGATATCTACAGTGGAGTGCGTACAACAATGTTTCCTTATCCATGAAAGTAAAGAAGTAAAGTAAAGAGTAAAAGTAAAGTAAAAAGAAAGTAAAGAGGCAGAATGGAGGAGGAGGCTCGTTCTTTATCCTCGCGCAGCAGGTGGTCTGTTTAACTGTTTTCTGACTAGTGAAGCGTTCAGTTTTTCCACTAACAAAGTCTGTCATGTAAATAGTAAATGCACCATGGCATGACGCAACTGACTTTTAAAAAGAATAGGAGATGAGACTCTGATTGGTTTATTCTCAAAACACACCCATAACTCATTAAGAGAATAAGCTCAACCCTGTTAGACCATCCGCCGAGGCGCAAAGAGAATTTTTCCGACCTTAAAATAGCAAAAGTGGATTCGGACATGCCCTTAATGCTTTTGCGCTTTAGACTTTGCGGCTAGATTGTTAAAATATAGCCCAAAATTTTCTGCACTTGCTCAAATATGTATAGTTTTTGGCCAAAAAATAAAAGGTGCGGACTGCAGCTTCTTTTTAAAAAAGGGAAACATTTGTGTGAGTTTTGTGCAGATCTCTAAGGTATTAACTCAGTTTTTAAGCAATGGTGAAAAGAAACATACTTACGTGATATAAGTCATAAGTCTCTGCACAAGAGATGTTTTTGTCCTCACAAGCTGAAAATAGAAACCCTATTGTAATCATGCACAGCATTTTTATAATCCCAACATAAGAAATACAGTTATAATAATTACTGACAGAGAACAGCTGCATACACTGTAAAACTAATTTGAAATTGTAAAGAAATATGAAAAAAAAAACATACCAGTAGTATTTCTGTGGCATCCCTAATCTCACCTTTCCAGTAGTACCTGAAATTAATAAAAAGTTAAAAACAATGTGAATTAAATTTAGTATTAAACGATTGCATTCATTTATTTGCTTAAATCTTACAGAAAAACATTTTTAAAAATGTTCACCTGAAATTTCAAAAATTGATTCAGAGTATTTTTTTAGAAATGAAATGATTGTCCTTCATTACATAAACAGTCAGTTAATCATTTATATACAGTGTTGGTAAAAATTACACTTCAGCTGTAGTGTTTTGGCTTCAAGGGTTTAGAGTGGGTGAAAGGTTAAACTCGCTGGTCTTACATAGTGGCAGTACGAGGAAATATATTCACACATGCTGCCAGCCTTTTCTCCATGATGATTCTAACAAAACAAAAACATAAAGAGATGGACATAAATTAGCTTCTCTGTATATGCATACAATTACATCACGAGTCAAAGGCAAATTGTGCACACACACCTCATCTGAATGTAGGTTTAATATCGTACTGTACATAGACTGGAACAAAACCCCTTTGAATAGATCATGTTTCTTAGCTGCTGTTAATACGATTGCTTTACTCAATGCCTTACTAGAAAGTAGACTGTACAAAATGTTTTTCCCCTCTTCTTCTAATCAAGTGCACATTACATTTTAATGAATTTTACATTAAATTAATTAGTGGAGTGCTGTTGTTAATGTTTTTTTTTCTCAGCTTCTAGGAAGAAATTTGTAAATTGCAACCATTCTACATTACAGCATTACTGAAAGCCTAAACACAGCATTACTATTTTACATTACATACAGCATCATACTATAGGCTTTACAACATATACTGAACAATATATCAAGTGGACTTGACAATGTTCACATAATTCTTGAACAATAAATTATTTTCATTGTTTCTGACCCATGCAAATCAGGTTATCACAGCAACATTTCATACCACAATGCTTAAAAATACACAAGGTTAATATTTTAAACAAGCATAGTTAGAAAGGCGGACTGGTAGACAGAAAGAGAGAGCACTAACATGAAAATTGAGCTAAAACTAGCTAATAATAACAACTTTTGTTTCTACGTTTTCAATTGTTTAGCTTGACACGTTTTGGTTTTATTCTTTAGCTGTGCTGCCATAGCCTTTTACCAACTGAAAATGTACCCACTTTTATTTCTAATGCATCTGCCATTACCTCATACTACTTAATATACTACCTTGTGTATTCCTTTGACAATAGAATCATGCAGGATTCTTCCAACCTTGGCAAGACATCATTTGGTAACCCTGACCTCAAGTCTGCAATCCCAAAAGATTTCAATTTTTAGTTTGCACAATGCCCATATTCCCCATTCATGCATTTTCACAGAAACAGGATGGATTCCTGGTGGTTCTGAATCTATTGGAATTCCAGGTGGCATGGTCCTCCTGAACTTCAAGAACCGCTCTGCTTTGATGAGCTTCTAGAGGGCAGTCTTATGATTTAACAGCTGTTAAGTGCTCGTTAACGAGAGATTAATGAGAAAATAAATCATAATGCATAAGAGTAAATATGGAGACTCAGGTCGAGATACTCTACAGGGGTTCTCAAACTAAAATAAAAAAAATGAAGAAAAATAGAGAAATTTCAAATTTGAATTAGATGAAGAAAAAAACTGAAACAAATGCAACCATATCTCTTTTTGTTGCTGCTGAAATGTTAAAAAGTATAACAAGAGGGAATTAGACACTCAAGACCAAAATAAAAATCAGTGTTTACAGCAAGCTATTTTAACAGAAGGTCAAACTCACAAACTCTGCTTCATTTACAGATAGATCTATCATAAAAGCAGAAGTTTTATTCAGGTGAAAGTAGTTGTTTAAACCATATTATTTTTATTATTGTTTATATCTGATTTATTATTAAAAAAAATTCTCTTCAAAAAAATCAATTAATACTGAATTTATATTTGCATTTTAGGCCTTGTTTCTTAGTTGACACTGAATAATCACTGCATTATTATTCTGAAAGATAAGTCTTTCAACATGGTTTGAAAAATAAGCACTGCCTCAGTTAAGGTTAAAAGAAATGTCATCAAACATACAGGCCAGAAACACATTAATCCTTGCAATAAAGATTTGCTTCCTCAAATCCAAACACCAACTTTGCCAAGCAGTGTATTTAACACACACATTTATAACCACCCCTGGAATGTACATTGCACTAGGTGCAGGTCAATGTGCAACTGATTAAATAATGTTATCAATAAAATATGTAATGTTCTTTAAAAGTGTGTGGTTGCGTTTTTATGCTATCAAATTGTTGTAAAGACAAAGTTTGTCATAAACACAAACTCATGAAAACATAAAGCTTTTTGTCATTTTGAGTACTAGGTGTCGCACAGTTTGTCCGTAAAATTGCCGACACCTCAGAACTTTAATCTTGGACAATATGCCTTATGGGTTGTTCACATGACATTGTGGTAGAATTCATCTAAGGTGCTGCATGGGTGGCCCAATGATGAGCTGCTGTCTAGCCATGTGTCTTCCACATCTCACTGATGCCAGAAAAAGTGTGGACATTCCTCACATTGCTTGTGCATTGTTCTCAGTGGCCATTGTGAGACAAATCACCAGCAGCTATAACAGTGGTGACCAGAGCAATGTGTAACAAGACACAGTTTGTCACAAACTTCTGCATAAAAGCATCTGTAGCCAATAACCCAGCTGGGTTCCCATATTAACACCATGCCACTATCAACAATTAATGAAATGGGGTCAAGATGTTTGAGCTTGAACCCTGGATGATTGATAGAAAGTGATCTATTCTGATCAATCACCATTTGCGTTGCATTACATTGACAGGTTTGTTCAGATATTACCAACATTAATTAACAACTGAGGTTATGACACATTAATGTAATGTTATTCAGGATATACAGTAAAAATATATTTTCATGGGACACTTCAGGCTTCAGAATCCCAACAGCAAACCCAGGAAAGCTATGGTAGAAAGTCCACTCACTTATGGCAAATATGTTCTCTGCAAGTGACGTACATCACCAGCAGGATGATTTGCCATCTTCGAATCTTCACGGTATTTGAAGAACATGCTAGTGAATTTTTGTTAATGTCTTGGCCTCTCAACTTCCCTGACATGAACCCGATCATACAGTTGTGGTTAGACTTGGAAAATTGTGTTTGTGATACGTGTTGACATTATGGTTCCAGAAAACAGAGACCTGGGGTCTATTCTTCGTACATGGATTACTCAATTAGCTTGATTTGGATGTTGACGATTTAACACAATCCAGGATCGTTTCGTTCTTCAAAACTCATCTGAGACTAGTTGTCATAGCAACAGTTCTTGTAGCTCAGAAAGGTAATAATATTTATATATATAAAAAAATAACTCATGCAATCTGCACTCCGACATAAGTAAAAGTAAAGTACATAAGTAAAAAGCCATCTGGTGGTTCAAAGGGAAAATTTAATGATATGAACTTTTTAGATACAAACGCGTACACGCACACTATTCGACTTAAATTATTATTCTTTTTTTTTATTTTTTTTTATGCAGTCATGAATGTGTTTTGACCGCAAATATGCCAGTGATTTGATGCTTCGCAAAAGTTGCACACACCATACAGTTATTACTTACATCGATTAAAAAACTTGAGGTTGCCTAAGCTACTATAATAAAGAAAATCTTCTCTAAATGTAAAACTAAATACACCTATATGCATTGAAATACATGATGGATACTCTTGACACATGAAAGTGTAAAGCCTGCAGCCCACAACAAATGTGGAAAGTTATTGTGTAATACGCATCATATTTAACAAACCGCTTACTGTGAACTTGATGTAATTTTGCTCACATGGATAATAGAATATTAATCAAATGATGTCATTAGGCTGCTGTGCCGTCAGCCAATCAGCATTGCTGATGATGATTTTGAGGATTGATAGATCTGTCCTTCACAACACACGCAACAATCTCAGATCAGTTTACCCAGAAATTTTAATCTGATTTGCGAACTTGTTTGAAGATTCAAATTAGCTAGAGATCAGTTATCAAGATTAAAAGATCCAGGATCTGCCAAATCATCTTAGATCATTTAAGCAAGGTACATAGAACGGACCCCTGTTGCCAGCTCACTGAATCAACATCTTGCCAGGTGGCAGCTGTTTTGTGGATTAAATGAGGCTATCAGATAGATGGTCATAATATAATGGCTCATCTTTTGCTTATACACTTATCAGCCACTTTATTAGGTACACCTGTCGGACTGCTCATTAACTCAAATTTCTAATCAGCCAATCGTATGGCAGCAACTCAATGCATTTAGGCATGTAGACATGATCGAGACGATCTGCTGCAGTTCAAACCGAGGATCAGAATGGGAAAGAAAGGTGATTTAAGTGACTTTGAACGTGGCATGCTTGTGGTGCCAAACGGGCTGGTTTAAGTATTTCAGAAATTGCTGATCTACTGAGATTTTCACCCACAACCATTTTTGTGGTTTACAGAGAATAAACAAAAAAAAAAAAGAGAAAACATCCAAGGAGTGGCAGTTCTGTGGGCACAAATCCCTTGTTGATGCCAGAGGAGAATGGCCAGACTGGTTCGAGCTGATAGAAAGGCAACTTAAATAACTCAAGTAATACAAATAATCACTCATTACAACAGAGGTATGCAGAAGAGAATCTCTGAATACACAACACGTCCAACCTTGAGGCAGATGGGCTACAGCAGCAGAAGACCACACCAGGTGCCACTCCTGTCAGCTAAGAACAAGAAACTGAGGCTAAATTTGCACAGGGTCACTAAAATTGGACAATAAAAGATTGGAAAAACATTGCCTGGTCTGGACATTCAGAGGTAGGGTCAGAATTTGGCGTCAACAACATGAAACATGGGTCCAACCTGGTACTAGTAAGGTGTACCTAATAAGGTTAGTAAGTGTATGTATATTTGTGTTACTAAACCTAGCCTACTAGTCCTGCTGTAGCATTGCCACTGATGAGCCATGATATGCAGCCGACAAGCACACAGAAAGATCCTGTTCCACAAGGTAAACACATTGGCGTTTCATTCTTGGAATCCGCATAAGAATTAAAAACAGATTTGGTAGCAGATATGGCCTGTTGAGGAACGTATGACTCTGAGTCGCTTTAAAAGTCGAAATTTAATTTCCTTGTTTTGTTTTGTTTTAGTTCATGTTAGCTTTATTTTGGGGGTTAACATTTATTATTGTTTATTTGTTCAGAATTGTTTTTTTATGTTCTATTTCCAATTTCTAAATATTCTCAAGATTAAAATAATCTGTGTTCTTTGATGATTTTTCGGTTTAATTTAAAACTTTCAATGCATCATTGGACAAATGTGAGTTTTTTTACAATA